AATCAAAGGGCTTACCATTCCTTTAATGATTACCCGTAACGAATAAAGGAAAATAAGAGTCAGAGTCTCAGGAGGTGAAAAGTTATACTGATTTATGCCAGCTAGATCTAAATGTTTAAAAACAGACCAATTTTGGTTTCCAATAACCACTGAGTGTCACTGAAAAGCTATACATATAGTCTCCAGAGTGGTATTTTCTAATATCAGAAGCAAATACTTCTGTATGACAACAGTATAATTTTCAATGGCCTCAACTAAAGGAAGAACCTGGCCACATCTTGCTCCCATTAAAACCAGTCTGAAAACTCCCATGGGATATGTATTATACTTCATGTTCTATTTTGAAGTCTATCTTTTGAAGCTTTGAAATTAAAATTAATTTCAGGAGGGCAAATCTGAACACTGCTACTGACACAGATTTCCTCAGGACAGCCCTCAGTGGGTCGAAGCATCCCAGCTTGGGAAAGGTTGGAAAGGGAACGGATGGGGGAGAGTGAACATCATGTCTTCTAACACTTCACAACACCATCATCTCATCATGACTAAACCCCTTTAAAAAGGGAATTTCAGGGGCAAATTACTGCCAGTAGGGTAGGTTACTGTCAGCAGTAACAGCTACACTAGAAGGAGGCCAGCCAAAACCAAAATAAAACAAAACAAAAAAAGAGCTGGTGCTCCTGGATAGATGCCACTAGCTTCCTGTGCATCTTTGCAGTGTTCCACTAGCACTAGCTCCAGGGCTTCTTGTACACAGAAGCAAACCCCACTTTCCTAACAGCAGGAGTCAGAGTGCAAATAATACAAGGCAAATAATGTGGAAAAAATAGAGAAGAAGCTGATGAAATATGACAACATCAGAAATAAAATTACCATTTTAAATAAATTAAGTAGATCAGGCATAGCTATTTCTAAATAAACCAAGGATGAGAGATGAGAAAATACACATTTTACCTCATAGGTAATTATGTTCTGCAATTGCTTTCACTATTTGTACTGTTTTAAGATGACCACATATACTTACAGGCAGATTTTCATTTGGGATTGCCTGGTGTAACTTTCTTGACTGCAGTGGGTTTATGCTAATTTAATGTAGTCGAGAGTCTAGTTTAGTGAATAGAGCCGTGGAGTGGAACTCTGGACACCTGGATTTTATCCCTACTTCTGCCATTGAAATGTTGGATGATGTTGCAGACATCACTGCCCCTTTCTGCATCTCAGTAAAATGGGGACAATGTTATTGTCTTCTTTTGTAAGGCACTGTGCGATTTACTGATGAAAAACCTACGCAAGAGCTAGTTTTAATGTGCATTAATAAAACAAACACTATGTTTTTTATAATATACAACATTAGTACTGTTCATCTGGCAAATAGTACAACTGTAACATTCAAGGATAACCTCTGGGGAAGGTGGGGGCCTAGCTGAAATCCCAGTGAAGTTAGGTGGCTGACTTCTATGGTTTTAGGTCAGGGCCTATAGTAGTTACATGATTACTGTGAATGTGTTTCATGTAGTTAACATGGTGTTGACTGTGTTCTCACCTCTGTGCTGTCTTCTGGAATTTTTTACTAAATGGAATTATTATTAAGAGTGGGTTTCAAGAAAATAAAAGTAAGCAAATAATAGAAAAGCATAATCATTTGCATTTGGATAGGAATTCAGGTTTTGAGATTCGTATGTACATTGGACAAACGTCTCAGACACTTCGCCAAAGGATCAATGCCCACAAAACAGATATTAGTCAGGATCACAAAGAAAAAACAGTTTCTTGCCATTTCAACCAGAAAGGACATTGTCTCAACGACTTGATTACCTGCATCCTGCTTCAAAGACCTTTTAAGATAACACTTGAAAGAGAATCTCTGGGGTTTTTTCAGCTACACCAGACTAACACGGCTACATTTCTATCACCTATTTTCAAGGAACAGAAAATTACCATGTAACTTTTGTTCAAGACAGACCTAGAATTTTTTGCAGAAATTAATTTAAAAAGAAAATCATGATCTGTCTGAACAAATTAATGACGCTACCAAAATCAAATAAGCTAGGAAGTATTTGCAAACTTTGCTTATCATTTGTTTTCATGCTTAACTGCTTATGTGCTATAGCACAGGGAATGGCTACGTATCTTCTCTACCTCTAAATACCTGGTGGTAATTGACCTTTCAAATGAAATACAGTATTGTACATAAAAGTAATAATAACAAAGAGAGAGAGAGAGAGAGAGAGAGAGAGAGAGAGAGAGTTCTTCTGTAAAGATTTGAAGGCTCTTAGCAGTTCACTAAGTCAGACCTTAATTCATGTAGACATAAAGGGTAAAATTTGTTCTTGGTGCTGCTCCACTGAAGTTCTCCAGATAATACAGGAATAATGATGCTGTACTGCCCTATTTCTCCATATCAGAATATATCACATAACAAAAAGCAGGTCAATAAGTTGTCAAATATATCTACTATTTCCACACAACCAGGAATAGTTAGGAAGGATAATCACAAGGAGCCAAGCAATGTTTTGACCAGTAATCAGACTTGAATCTTTATATCTACTGTTTAAAATCCTACAACACAAACTACAGTGCATTCATCTCAGTTCTTGTATTTAGGAATAACTGCTTCCTTTTAATGTGGTGAAACAAACAAACTAAATTTTTTCCAGGTTTTGTTATCCCAAGAAATTCAGCAAATTAAAAACAAGCAGTCTAAGGTGAGTTACCAACATGAGGTTTATCAGACATAAGTAATCAAATCCATATGTTCCTATCTCTGAATACTGATTTCTGAAATTAAGGAAAGAAATTATTTCAACTCTGTGGAATTTGTAATATTAAGAGTTTATTGTCCCAAAACATTAAAAAGGGTTTATCTGTACAGCAATTTAATACATCAGGCTCTCAAAGTCTTGTGAATAATGGGCATGCCAGTTCGCCTTTTATGTTATCTGTGTTTTAGAGAAAATCCTGGCTTCTACGTGTGTTCTACATTCAAACCCTTATTTAATTTGCCTGCACAAAAAAGATTCTAAGTTTTGATAAGCAGATTATGACTTTACTGATGTAAACTGCCAAATTATTAACACTCTAAACACTTGATTATGCATAAGAAATATACATTTGCATATAGACTGAGGGATTTTCAGTGGCACAGATCATACTACTAGTGAAGAAAATAGTAAAACTTCCACAACTTGAATGGGTCTAGAGCAGTGATTCTCATACCTCAGTGGTTTAGAAGCTAAATTAGCTATCTACCTTATCCAAAACTGCCACAGTCATGAATTCATTCTCTCTCTCTGACACACACACAAAAATGATTGACCAAACATTTTACAGTTGTTTAATAACATAAAAAGAGCCAGAGGAGACACATATGTTCTTTGATAAGATAACGAGCCTTGTGGATAAGGGAGAAGCGGTGGATGTCATATACCTAGACTTTAGTAAGGCATTTGATACGGTCTCGCATGATATTCTTATTGATAAACTAGGCAAATATAACTTAGATAGGGCCACGATAAGGTGGGTGCATAATTGGCTGGATAACCGTAGTCAGAGAGTTGTTGTTAACGGTTCTAAATCCTGCTGGAAAGGGATAACAAGTGGAGTTCCTCAAGGGTCTGTTTTGGGACCCGTACTGTTCAATATCTTCATCAATGATGTAGATATTGGGATAGAGAGTACGCTTATTAAGTTTGCAGATGATACCAAACTGGGTGGGGTTGCAACTTCTTTGGAGGATAGGGACATAATTCAAAATGACCTTAGCAAGTTAGAGAAATGGTCAGAGGTAAACAGGATGAGGTTTAATAAGGAGAAATGCAGAGTGCTCCACTTAGGAAGGAACAATCAGTTCCATACATACAAGATGGGAAGCGACTGTCTAGGAAGGAGCATGGCGGAAAGGGATCTAGGGGTCATAGTGGACCACAAGTTGAATATGAGTCAACAGTGTGATGCTGTTGCAAAAAAAGCAAATATGATTCTAGGTTGTATCAACAGGTGTGTTGTAAGCAAAACTCGTGAAGTCATTCTGCCGCTCTATTCTGCACTAGTTAGGCCTCAGCTGGAGTACTGTGTCCAGTTCTGGGTGCCACATTTCAAGAAAGATGTGGAGAAATTGGAAAGGGTACAGAGAAGAGTGACAAGAATGATTAAAGGTCTAGAGAAGCCTATGAAGCCAGGCTTCATGAACTGGGCTTGTTTAGTTTGGAAAAAAGAAGATTAAGGGGGGACATGATAGTGGTTTTCAAATATCTAAAAGGGTGTCACAAGGAGGAAGGCGAAAATTTGTTCCTCTTGGTTTCTGAGGACAGGACAAGGAGTAATGGGCTTAAAGTGCAGCAGGGGAGGTTTAGATTGGACATTAGGAAAAAATTCCTAACTGTCAGGGTGGTCAAATATTGGAATAAATTGCCAAGGGAGGTGATGGAATCTCCCTCTCCGGAGATATTTAAGAACAGGTTAGATAGACATCTGTCAGGGATGGTCTAGAAGGAGCTTGGTCCTGCCTTGAGGGCGGGGGGCTGGACTCGATGACCTCTTGAGGTCCCTTCCAGTCCTATTATTCTATGATTCTATGATTCTATGATTAAAAAGAGACGCTTGCCGTTTTTGAGCCGCAGTCTGAGTATCACTGGTTTGCAGTTTGACCCTATATAAATGACAGATTACGTAACCTATTTGAGATAGTAAGTTGTAGTAGATCAATGAGCTCTGGATAATTAAAGGTGTATTTGCATTATTTTTTCTTTGCAAATTATAAACTGTAGGTCAGATCCTTAGCTGGTGTAGAAAATTGTTTTAAAGGAGCTTTGCTAAGTTACACCAGCTGAGAAACTGAAGATCTATAGATATACTGCCACCAGTTTATTTTAAAGAACTTGAAAGAAAATGAACCATATGTGTATCTAATTATATTAAATGCAATCATAAAGTAAATCAGAAAAGATAAAAGCATTTATAGTATCAATTAATGAGACAACTAAATATAAAAATAGTTTGCTTACCTGTTTCACATCATATGCCAAAAGAACATATCTTAAATCTGGTGAGACTGAATATCTTGATGCTTTGAAAGTTACCTAAAAACAAGTAATAATATGGGTAACTAACTAATGCAAGCTCAACTTTTCCAAAGACTACAGAATTCATTTAAAACTTCTAAGATAATTCTATTACAAACAACTGAATTATTTGTATATCAGAAGGGCTGTACTAATTCTCAGCGTAGTTTCATTGACATTAGGTAAGTACAACAGATGAATTTGGCTGCCATGCTATCAACAAAATAATAATAATAAAAACCTGAGACTCGATCAAGATAGCAACACTATGCTCAACCTTAACTGTTTGAAGGAGGGAAAGTATAAGCAACACATTTACATTGGAGGAGGAACGAAGCTCCTGCTGGTATATACTTCATAGACAATTAAGAATGAGACACCTTATCGGGTTAAGCTTAAAGATAATGTACAGGAAAAATGTATAAGCACATTGCAGTCAGAGCTTTGTCTCTCTAGTTGCTCCTCTTTTATCTTTATGAGCATACACATTTTATAGAACAACCTTCACTAAAAGATAATGTCTTTTATTTTACAGGAAAGAAGAAAACAAGAAGAAAACTCCCTAGTGGAAAGTAAAGTGAAACAGAAAGCAGCATTATAAAACTAATATTGCTTTATATATAGCTAAGTCTGCATGACACCCAATTGAATTCAGAGCAATAATTTCATCAAGGAGTAATGCTGATGTCAGAAAGAATTTAATGCATTTAATGCAGAAGGAGGATCAGAGTGTGCCTGAAGAAACAGTGCTACTGAAGAAAAATGTTATATTAATTTGGGTAGACATCAGCAAGGGCAAAAGGGCCTGAGCATGTGCACACCGATGCCTTCGCTAACATGCTTGGAGTATGTAGACATGGATAAACTGGGCCTTACTAAACACACATACCGGTTAGCTACCGGCACATGCCAGAGGTGAAAGGAAGCCGGTGAGCCCTGGTGCACCACTCTGGCAAGAGAGAACTGGCCGGCTGGAGCACTTGGCTGCAGGAGGAGGTGTGATGCGCTCCCAGCTGTGCTCTCAGGGCTTCCTGCTAAACAGCAAGCAGGCAAGTTAAGGGAGCAGGCTGGCTGAGGGTGTGCTGCTTCACTTATCCAGGACTGCCCCAGCTCCAAACTCCCCTTCCCCCTGGGGCACCATTTAGGGATGGTGGGGTGCTGAAGCCCCCTAACTCCCAATATTTGTACAGGGATGCTGCTTGTTGTTCCCCCTCCCATCAAGGGAGCAAGAGCAAATCACCCAACCTGCATGCATTCCTCTCCTTCCTGGATGGGGAAGACAGAGGAGGGGGCAGAGGAGTGAGTGACCTGTGTTGTGAGCCTCCCTTTTACTCCCTGAGAGTGAGGAAAGTGAACACTAAGCAGCATCCTGGTACAAACTGGGAAGGGTGGGGGAGGGTGAGCTACCTCTGCCTAAATACCACCCTTACAGTCCCCCATCCACACATACCCAAGCTCCATACCCTGACCTCCCCCGGTCTTCTGACCATTCCCCACTCCTCACATACCTCAAACTTGACTTCTGCACCCTCCCACCCCTCCTTCTCTGAGCCCCACCCACCCTACACTTAAATTTCTTAAAGTTATTGTTGTATCAGCCCCCAAGCTCTACCCACTTCCCTGACTGCTCTACACACCCCTGAGAAGGGATGAGATACAACAGTACCTGTAAGAAAATTAAGTTGATTTCACCTCTGCTATGTCCTTAGATGAATATATGGAAATTGCATGTTTGAATCTGAAGGCAGAATTTTAACCCATATAAAATGTCGAGCACCAAGCTTGCAAAAGAAGTCACCAGGAAAACTTAGGTTTTAAAACACAAACACCGTAATAAATGGTATTATTTTAAGATTGAGCACAACACTTCTACAAGTGGCAGGAGAAAAATAAAGAAATATAAGAAACAGAGAAAAATAAACGAAAAGAATTGTGGGTTTAGATTCTTCTTCTTCTTCTTCTTCTTCTTCTTCAAAACAAAAGATTCCTGTCCCCCAACCTAGCCTTCATTGATTGACTGTTATGCAGTTATGACAGATCATGCATGTGACATTCCACTTATTTGGCAAACACTAAGAACATTTTTAGATGAGGATTTCTTCATTTTGGGCAATGTATTAATTATTGCCACACTAACTCAATCTTTTGCAATACATAATGTTGGAAGTTTTCCAAAATCATTTTCAAGCAAGTGCAGTTTCCTGCATTTAGTGAGAATCTTCAATCAGTGATTATGCCACTGTAACACTAATGACGCACTCAGAGTAAACACCTGGGCAGTTCAGCTGCAGAATTTTGGCACTTTAAGGCAAAGCCAGGAAGAGCTATCTTCTTATTTCCTATTAAAAGATCATCTCAAGTATCTGGGGATGTATAATTGCATGACACATGCTGAAGATGTCCTGGTTTGCCTTCACTCACCTGCACTGTTTTGCATGGTTTTGGGAGTGTCACATTTGTAAGTGGAGAGTCAGTAAATACAGTCTCCTGATGACAGCTAGTGGTTTTAGCAGATTACTTCCCTCCTTCTGGTATAACGGGATTGTTCTTGATAACAGAAGTTAAAAATATGGAATATTTTTATACATTCCACAAGCAAGAAAGTTGATATTAGGCCAACTGAAAACACACACAATAAGCTAACACATGCATGCCGCACTCTTTGAAATTCACTTTAAATGAGTGCAATGAATGCATTTATCAAGGTTGAGATTTTCAGATGAGCCTAGGGGAGTTAGCAAAGTGCCCATTGGAATTTCAGTAGTGTTTGGGTACCTGGCTTCCTTATTAAAAACAACGAGAAGTCCTGTGTCACCTAAGAGATTTGCAGATTTATTAGGTGTTATAGGACTCCTTGTTGTTTTTGAAGATACAGACTAAAACCGCTGCCCTTCTGAGACTTACCTTCCTAACGTGTTTTTTTTTTTTTACATCACAGACTTTTTTTTAAAGAAAGATTGGCAACAAATTGAGAAATTTAACCAGTGTTAATTTTCACCATTTTATTTGCAGAAAGCAGCTTTCTAGGAAAAACAAAAACAAAACAAAAAAAAGTTAGCCCCTGCACCTTCTTCCTGCAACAACACAAGAGGCATTGCTACTGAAAATCTCTGATCCCTGGTGCAGGGATGCACAGAGACCTGAGTGGAGCATTCACAGGAACACACACCTCAAAGAACCACCGTTAGTGCACAGAGTAACTACTTCTCTATCCTTTTTTAAATGATCCTTTTTAATGATCCAGAAGATCCATTATTCCTGATTTTAAGAGGAATAAGTGATCTTTCGGAAAAGGCTTTATTTTCCGAAAGATCCCCGTCTTGACTGGCGCTTTTGCCAGCAAAGCCCCGAGCCGGAAAAAAACGGCAGCCATGTTTATGCAAATGAAGCAGGGAAGATTTAAATCCCCGCTTCATTTGCAATTGCACTGTGTCTAATTTGCATCCCTTTATGGAAAAGGGGTGCAATCTAGACACAGCCGAGAAGTATGCCAGATTCAGACTCAGTAGGGGTATTAGTAAAAGAAAGGCAGAAAGAGGTATTCCATATCCTCTTCCTCACAGTTCTTCCTTGCCCACATGACAGATATCTGACTCCCTTATGGGGGACAGGATGTCAGCTGGTGACAAGTTTAGGGCAATCCAATGCACACTGGGCCTGATTATAACTGATACTGCTTCCAGACTCGGCACAACTTTAAAAGTGTTTTGAAACAAGACCCTCAGGAAAGAGACAGAGCTTGTCTGTGTATCTTCGGAGGTATGTTTCTAGCCAAGGCTTCGAACTCCTGCATTATAGTATGTTCTTTTCCTCTCTGTGGGAGGGATTTTCTGTTTGGTTGGTTTTCATTAAGCATTTTCTTAGCTTGAGACTTTAATTCTCTTAACTCCATTGAAAATCTGCCCGTACCAATAATTCCAGCCCTACCAGAAATTAGATGCAATTAAGTTTTCTTGCTAGTTTTGCCAATATGTGCATGAACACTGCATTTTATTGAACTGCTGCCTGTACCAGGAGCAGTTGTACTTCCTATAGGCAGACAGTTTAATGCTGTCTCCATAATGTCTACACTGCAGTGATAATAGCACATGTAAACAGACTTGAACTACATTGAGCGAATGTAGTTTGTGCATGTCTGCATGCTCTGTAAACATACCTCCTCATTGCTCTATAGACATTGCCAGTTACCTACATAACTGATACTCATGAAATATTTATATTTCATAATGCTGCAAACTTTTCACTTAAAAATTAGATCTCAAAGGCTAGTACATTCTCTTTTCTCCCCCAAAACTCACAGATCTCTCACATATTTCATGAACACTGCTGAATTTGAGAGAATTTAATTTTAAAATTTTTTGCAGTAGACTAAGGATAGATCTTGTATTTCTTTCTGAGGCATAAACTACTGGCTGCAGGATGGGAACCAACAATATGAGCAGCAGATTTCAAAGGAGGCTAAGAATGCAAGAAATTCCTCAAGTAATATGGGTGTTATTTCTTTGTCTGACAATGGTGCATGATGACGTGACACTCTGTGGACAATCTATGACCTTCTCTACTCCCAGTAATGCACTTGATAACTATGACCACTGGTATTACCACTAGCAGAGATCACAAGGAAGATAACCAAATGGAGACAGATGGATGCAGCATGTTCAAGTAACCCTTTGCTATTTACATACTTGTTTTTTGAAGGTAAAGTATATTTTTCAGGGAAGATGAAAGGTAGGGATTGTTCTTTGAAACAGTGACAGAAAGCAAAGAGAATGTGAGAGATTTGAGAAGGGAAGAAAAAGAAAATAAGACACAAAGATAACTATATTTTCCACCTTTTAGAAATATTTACACTTGCCGGGTACTTTTCAAAGTGCAACTTGCTCAGATCTTTCTTTACAAGGCCAAGATTTCATGACAGTTTTTTTTCCATTCATATTTCAGTGTTTCGTTGATAACCAGAAATGTTTTGTTGCTAGCCAGTTGATACTGTCATGTACAAAGATAGCTTAGGCTAGCAA